ATGTTTTGAGAATGATGATGGCAACGAATGTACATATGTGCTTGACACAATGGGTGGATATATGGATTGTGATGAGAATTGTATGAGCCTCCAATAAAATGATTAAAAAAGAAAGATCCTTCTCCTCTAAAAATTTCCTTTAAGTGGAGGCGTTGGGGACAGTGGAATACACGCAATGAGCTAGAAACAAACGCAGCGAGACACAACTGGAACACAACTCATGGAAGGCAAGTAGCGGTCCTGAAAGTTTTGCTCTCTGAGGACTATTTCTCCTGCCATCACACTGGTTTCTATAAAGACAGTTATACGTCGAGTCCTCTGCTTTCATGATTGGCGTTGGATGTTAGTCCTTTCAACGGGCTGCGTTATGAGGGAAACAGGAGACAAGGCAGATGCTGAGATTTCCTTCAACCCTGCTCTCTGCCGTCTGTTGGGACGCACAGCACAAGCCCATTCAACTCTCCTGGTTCGGTCTTCCCACTTGACTCAACATTTCCATTTAAAGGCTTTTATGTTTCAAATATCCTTCCGTAATTGGTATTACAAATGATTGACTTCCTAGAGCCAGTCTTAATTTTCCACAACAGGCATTTCATTCCAAGAATCTGGCTTCAACAACCACCTTGATGGATAAATTTCTTTTGATGGCAGTGAACTGGGTCTTGATGTATCAACAAAAATAAAGAGAGCTACCGAAGGAGCCGTGCGGTGCAGTTGTTAAACACTGGCAGTTAAATGAAATGGTGTTAGTTTGAACCCACCCAGCGGCTCTGCAAGGGGAGGCACTGGCAGTCCATCTGCTCCCGTAAAGTTCACAGCCTAGAGACCCTGAGTGGGCAGTTCGACTCTGTCCCATGGGGTCACTAAGATCAATAATAATGTGCATTGCTATGTTCCAAGCAATGGTGTGCTTTAATGTGCATTTCCTCTACATTCTAGGGGTGATTGGTGCAGACCCAGAGGGGAATCTGGGAATTTTGCACCTGGGATTTATGGTCTTAGTATAGTGGTATGCACCTGGTCCCCTAAAGAGATGAGCATTGTGGTCCCCATGTAATAGACTTCTCACTGAAACAGAAAGTACATGGCACTAAATCAATGTGGTTGCATCCATGTTCAATGCTCACAGTTATACACAGAATACTTATGACTGTTCCATACATGAAAGCCAAGATAGGTAACTCTTCACAAACAGTAACAGGAGTAATGGTCCAGAAGGGCACTGGAAGAGGGGCAGGTAAGAGGAAAAGGGAGCTGATATCATTGATGACTGCATAACCCCACGCAATGGGATCAAACAACACAATTGTATGTGAGTGGATATATTGGATGTGTAAGATATGGCATAAATAAATAAATGGTTCCTGAGGGGATAAAGGGGAGCAGATATGGATGAGTTCAGGAGAAAGAAATTATTTTGAAACTGATTGTGGTAGAACTTTTACAACACTGCCTGATCTGATTAAACTACGTAAAATTTGCTATCTGTAAAAATTCCCAATAAAATGATTAAAAAAAAAAGAAATCAAGACAATTATTTCCACAGGAGAAGAATCAATACAAAATAGGAAATTGCCAATTATCCTTCCCCATGGAGGACATCAATCGATAATTGATTTATATATCTTATCTTAACAGTAATAACATAACATATGCCAAACAGACATTCATGTCCATCTTTCTTATATTATCAACTTTCACCTCTGTGGCATTCAGAAGACATGAAAATGAGAAAGTGGAGTCATAGCAATTTTGTTCTGCACAGCATAGTGAACTAACTGAAGTACCAGATGACGTACTTTATTTGGAGAAGTATGTTACTCTGGCTTGACTCAAGGGTGTTCACATTTTAAGTCTTTGTATTCATGTGTTTTCTTTTGATCACATCTTTATTATACTAATTTTTTTATGAAACCGAATTAAAAACTCCAGTTGCCAAATGCTAATGATGCGTTCTTAAGGTCTCGAAGTACACATCTCATTAGGTTTTTGTTTCTCAGCTGTTAAGACTTTATGAAGTCAATATTTAGCTCCCTTGGGGGGGATTTGCTTGTGTGTTCTAAAAGATACAGTTAGCCTTCCTTTCCAGCGACTTGTGCCAATCTCTGCCCTTAATTATCCCAACAACAACAAAAAGTTTTTCCACTTTCCAATATTAAACAATTCAGAGAGATTTCATTTGCTCTTTAAAAAACAAACCATGAGTAGGGATCCCTGCTGTATGTTGCTTCAAAGATATTTTGTGTTCTTCATCTTTTAGAGTATATTTATCCATATGAGAATTGTCTTTCCACTTCTAAGAAATGTTGACGTGAATTTTGTTGCTGCGCTTTCTCAAGAGGTAGTTGTTGAAGCAGTGCTGGTTGTTGTAGTGGTGGTTTTCATATTCAGGCAAATCAAAATAATTATTTGTGATGCCAACTGCAGTGTTTTCAAGAAAATATTAATCATTACTCATGGAAGCAGCCGTCAAGGGATCATAGAACTTGTTGCATGAGGTACCTCTGCTGCCCCAGACCTCTTTAGAGTATTGAGAAGCAAGGATGCTACTTTAAGGACTAAGGGGAACCTGACCCACGCCATGGCTTCTTCCAGTGCCTCATACGCATGTGAAAATTGGACACTGAACAAGGAGGGCCAAAGAAGAATCAATGCATTCAGATGGTGGTGCTGGTGGAGAAGACCGAAAGGACTGTCTTGGAAGAAGTATGGCAGAGTGCTCCGTAGAGACAAAGATGGCAAGACTTCTTCTTACAACATGAGGAGAGCTCAGTCCCTGAAGAAGGGCGTTGTGCTTGGCAAAGTAGAGGGACAGCTAAAAAGAGGAAGTCCCTCCCCGGGATGGATTGATACAGAGGCTGCCACCCTGGGCTGCGGCACAGGTCCAATTGTGAGCATGTGGAAGACAGGGCAGGGTTTCCTTCTGTTGTGCATCCGATTGCTGGGGATGGCAACCGACTCGATGGCCCCTCACAACAGCTCATGGGCTAGATCCCTGACAGCAAAAGGAATGGGAGAAGATCGGCTTCAAACGGTTATTTTTATTCTACTGTCTTCAGAAAGTGGATTGTGTTTTTTTAAGCTAAGACGTGAATTTCACAGTAGCGTTCAGATACATTTTCCTTCCAACTTGATTTTACAACTTTCTCATCACTGCGTAGCTTCTCCTGGTTTATAATGAAAGATACAGAGATTTGGAGACGTGATTGGCAAATTCAAGTTGACCTAGTGACAGAGTCACAACTTCAACATGGGATTCCTGATCACAAACCTGACTATAGCTCCACTGGACTTTCCATGTTTGGCTGTTATGAAACAAGAAAGGAGGGTGAGGTAAACACATCTAAAGCTTCAAGGATAAGCTATTTGGACCTTTTTAGATAGAGAGAGAGAGGCATTCAGACAGACTGATATTGAAATGTTGTTTTAGCTACCACCAAGTCAGTTCGGTCCAATAGTGATTGCATATACATCAGAACGAAACGTTGCCCTGCCCCACACGTCCTCACAGTTGCTGGGCTTGAATTCACCATTGAGGTCAAGTGTCCATCAGTCTGGTTGAGGGTCTTCCTCCTCCCTGACGTTCTCTGTTACCCAGCAATATGTCCGTCTCCAGGGACCCCTGTCCCATGGCCAGTGTGGGTGACATGAAGTCTCACCATCCTGCCCCTAAGGAGCATAGCATCCTGGTTGTACTTCGCCTAAAACAGATTTATTCATTTTCTGGGAAATCCATGGCATGTTTAATATTTTTGCCAATATCATCATTCAACGGTATCAGTTTGTCCCTAGTGACCCTTATTCCTTGTCTAGCTTTCACATGTATATGAGATGATGGAAAATATCCTGGCTTCGGATGGTTTCTTATCCTTGGCTTTTTAACACTTTTAGGCCATCTTTTGTAGCAGATTTGCCCGGTGGAATCGGTCCTTTGATTTGCTGACTGCTGCTTCCATGAACGTACACCACCCATTGACTGACTCTCTCTGTGTTTATCTATTTTTCCCTATATTCTTTCATCTCCTTTTATTAAATTATTTCTTGTCCAAGTTTGCAGTTTTTGAGTGTGGTAAGGAAAACGAACCTAAAGCATACCTCTAGATTATTCACCTTGTCCATGAGAGACACATTCAGACTGTTTTAAGAGAGGAATCCTTTGTTTTGTTTACAGCTGCAAACCTTTTTTGAGACATTCCTGAGGGCCAGTTCACCCCTTCAGGCCTTTGACAACGTGAAGGAAGCAGTAAGCAAACTCCTGCTGGCAGTGGAAGTACTTAGTGAGACATCAACTCTGGGACCAAAGGCCTTCAATAGGTAAATAATAAATAATAATAATAATAACTGATGTTAAAAAAGAGAGGGAAGCCTTATTTTCTAAAAACTGATGGTTGGTGAAAATATATCTCAAGCATCAAAACAATATGCTATTTGAAAATGTGTATATCATATAAAAACAAAATCTTCTAACTCCGTAGTTCCTAATTTAGAGATCCTAAAACACTTTGAAAACACATTACAAATTCTGTTAGTATCGAAATCCTGGTGACAAGAAATAAAGCATAGGTTTTTCAGTATTTTGTTTTAATGACAGGACTCTTCGAAGCTCAGCTCTGTACTGTACACTGTACACTGATCATTTAAAAATCTTTTTACATTTGTGTAGCATGTGTTTCTCTCTACGATATACCTGCTTCACTAATGCAGGTATTTTTAGCAAAAGCTAAAAATCCAAGTTGCTGCCACCGAGTCAATGCCGACTCCTAGCGACCCATTAGGAAAGGGTAGAACTGCCCCTGTGAGTTCCTGAGACTGCAGCTCTTTACAGTAGAAAATCCTCTCTTGCTCCTGCAGAGAAGCTGGGGGTTTTGAACTGCTGACCTTGCAGTCAGCAGCCCCATGTGTAACCACTAGGTCAACAGGCTCCTTTAATAATGCCAAGGAGATAATAAGGAATTTTACTAACAAAATGCAATGCTTCCCATTCCCATATCTCAGTTAACATAAATATAATTTGTTTCAGGGCAATGTTGGTGTGTTTAAAAAGCTAGCGTGCTTCATAACAAAAGGGGGTGGGGGTGGGGGCACCACAATATCAGCTTCATAAGGTTGTATGTGAACAGGACTACCCGGCATCTCACAGTAGAGGAGTTTTCTTCATGGAGTATCTTCATTAATAAGCTTAATGTTTTATGAATATTTAGAGATATATGCATATTGTATAAGAAACAATAACAACAAAAGTCTCCCTCTCCAACTGATTGACTGTTACATCATACAACCTGCCAAATTACATTGTTACATAACTGCCAATAGAACATATTTGGGGAAACATAATTCAATTCTTTCATTCCACCCTCACTCCCCACCCACCCCTACCAAACTCATGCCCTATCACATGCAAAACACATTTAATCCATCACACATGCAATTGGGAGGCACCAGTCTCTGGAGAACATCAAGCCTGGTAAAAGAGAGGGTCCGTGTCAACGAAGACCCTTAGTGAGATGGATTGCCTCAGTGACTGCAACAGGAGGCTCAAACATGGCCCCACAGGCCGGCCCAGACCAGGCAACGTTTCCTTGTGCTGTGCACAGGTCACTGTGGTGAGAAGTGACGCGATGGCACCAAGCAATACTGGATGTTGATAACACGATAGATACCAAAGGAGAGGAGACGCGGGCGGACAGAATAGATTTTCATGTTACCTTGTGTTTCTACCTTAGGTGCAGATTGTGTTTTCAGCTTTTAACTTTTGACCTTGGTTATGGCAGTTTCAGGTCCCCTCTAGTTCTCCAGGTGAGCTTGACCTTCCCCGTTTTGCTTTCCTGTGTCTGTGTATTGTTATTGTGGATGCCGTGCTGGTCATTCGTGGAAACCGCTCAACAAAGGGCACCTGAAACAAAGCTTTGCAGACTGATGGTTCCTGTGATTTAAGGAATTAGCTAGTAAGTAAAGAATCGATTTGACTTCCAATCCCTCCTATGTGTCTCTGCAGAATAAGCTTGGATTGGAACATAATTTAACCACTGCTCGTGACTTGACATAAAGTCAAGTATGTATTAACGGAGAAAAGTGTATCGGATGTATCAGAAAGGTGAGCCTAGAAAAAGGCAGATTCCCCAATCTCTGCACATAATTTTACAAAAGACATAGCTCTTTTGTTGTTTGCATATAAACATTTAATTTTTGATTGCACTGTATTGAAATGCAAAAGCCAGAAGAAATGTTAAAGCATTTTCTTAATATAAATATGTGCAAAGTGAAGGCGTTTGAAGGCAGCGTGCTGATGTACCCCAGAGTCTTTTCCTTCTTTCATCAGATGTGCTCATTCGGTCCAGCTCACTCTCTTCCTTTTTCTGCTCGGATAGCAAGAAGGCTAGACGGGAACCACGGATGGCATTGATCCACAGGAAGTCTATGTTGGGAGGGAAGGCGGGACAAAGGAAAGGAGCAAAATAAAATCCCGCATAACAAGACTGTAGATACTGTATTGATCTGTTCTCAAGTGACGAGACAGAAAAACTGATTACAATCAGGAGGGGGGCTTCCAAAAGTTCCTTGGGAAAATGGAACTAAAAGTAATGACATTTTTAAAGTGAACTTTTAAAAACCCTTTCATATGTGGCTTATAGGCTTACTCCATTAAAATACGAATCTACTTCTAAAGGTTATTTATTCTGTGCATTCATCCAATTGTTTGCACTGTTATTTTTAATTTTTTGGTTTATCGATGTTATTTGTTATGTTCTGAGCACAAATTGTGCAATAGTAAAGGGTTTCAAGATGAGCTAACCTAACTTGATGGCGCAACGGTTCATTTTCTTATGCGCTGAAGAGCCGCATCGCCTTAAGAGCTGTAGGACTCAGGTTTGTAAATTTGCTCACCTCCAAAGCGGCCACTAGGTGTCAGTTCTGATCTACAAGTCAGAGGAAAATAAATCACGTCTCCCCAGTTGCTGCTCTGTGTTAAACTAAGTCCATGAAAAATATCTGGTGTGCTCTTCTCTTTCTCGCCCCGTTTTTTGAAGGTACATGAGCATTTAGGGTTTCAAGATGATGACAATGTGGATTTTGAGGACCAAGCTACAGAAGAATTCCTTTTAAAAGACACTTTCAATTTTCTCCTCTCTAATGAATCTACATTTTTGACATTTTCTGAGATATTTCAGAGACTTTACAGACCAGCTGTATTTAAAGTAAGTGCACATTTATACCCTATTTTTCTTTTTAAAATTTTTCTTTTATTTTTTTTACCCTATTTTTCTGATTTCATGTTATTCATTCAACTATGCCATGTTTTTCATTATGCAACCAAGCGATTTGAAGATCATTTGGTATTTATGATCTATCCTACTGGGTTGTTGTCTTGAAAATGAGTCGTATGATGTCAATTGAGTATGTGAGGTAGCGGCCTGAGGACACAAGCAGTTGTGGTCAGTTTCCAATCTAAAAATTGGTGGCTTGAACCCACCTAATAAACCCATGATAGAAAGGCTTGATGATCCACTTCCTTAAAGACTAAAGCCAAGAAAACCCTGTGGGACAGCTTCACTCTTGAATATACAGAATCTCCCTCCATGAGTTGAAATGAACTTGGTGGGAAGGGGTTGGGTTGGGGTTTTTATTAGTATGTGGGTGACTGACTTTATTGAAATTATGGCTTGAAAAGGAGGAATTTGGTTCTCCATTTCTGAACGTGTGCCTATGATGTTCTACTTTGATATCAGGAGCTTGGCTTGTAACACTGAGGTGGTTTAAGCAAATGCATCTGGCAAGCTGTTTGATGCTGATGCCTGGGGTCATAGTGCTTCAGATGAGTACTGATCACATTTTTTTTGACATGTTAGTGCAAGTTTTCCTGTTTTGTTTTTATAAATCCCCATAGGCTAACAGTATAGTATGGTTCCCTCAGTTTTAAACTCATACTGGGAGACCTGGAGGAGTGGAATGTGAAAGGCAGCGGGCAAACCAAGGCGGCCCCTGTTGTTACTCAGGGGTTCTCTTGGCTTGCTCCTCTATACTTCCCCATTTCCATTCTCCAGCAAAGGGGTTGTCAATAACACCACTAGAACCACTCCACGGGGGGTGGGGGGGATTAAAAAATTTGTATAGGCACCCTCTGTTCCCAGGCATGCATTCAAAAGCAGTGGGGTTGGGTAAAAGTAGGGAATGGCTATCAAATAGTCAAAATCCAAACTCATTGCCTTCAACTTGATTAAAACTCACAGCGGCCCTATGAGTTGCTGTTTGATGTTGTTGCTAGGTGCCGTCTGGTCTAGTGAGTTCCTACTGATGGCGACCCTGTGCCCACCAGAATGATACACTTGCCTGGGCCTTCACTGTCTGCACAAGGGTCCTTATGCTTGAGCCCATTGTGGCAGCCACTCTGTCAGTTCATCTCGTTGAGGGCCTTCCTCTTTTTTGATGCCCCTCTCTCTACTTTACCGAGCACCATGTCCTTCCCCAGGGACTGGTCTCTCCCACAACATGCTTTAGTAGAAACCTTGAAATTCCAAAGCGATCATGCGACGAGATTCACATGCAAGTGCCCATTTGCTGCGCTGATCTCTGGAGCCCTAGAGGCCAAAAGGTACTCCTCCTGCACCCTAACTGCTCATCAGAGTCTGTCCTTTTACTGTCCTCTTCCCAGGTTGACGCCCAAAGAAAGCACCTGCGAGCCAGTCATTCAGGTCGTTCTGGGCCAATGTGATGCTTCCTTACGTTGGAATGTATGACTTAGCACGGATTAGCTCATTCGTTTACAGAGTCCAAATGAGCTTGAATTCACGAAGTGAGGAGAAAATCAGACATTCGTGCACATGGTTTGACTCTGTAGCAATTGCTTAACCATTTGTTTGTTTGTTGTTTTCTAATACAGGGTGAAAACTTCTCAAACGACCTAAATCAATGCCTGTCTTTAGAGGATATTCACTCAATTAGGACTTTCGTAAAGGAACTTGGCAGTCTGGGGCAATTCCAACTGGTAAAACACTAGTTGAATTTGATACCTCTGGATTACTGAAATCATAGTAGACTGGCCAAAACTGACCTGCTCTTGGCTTCAAACTGAAAATGGAATTTTTTTAAGAAGTAGAAAGATAAAGAAATGCCTTTCCTTTGTTTAAAAATCTGAAAGGTTAAGATGAGCAGAATCCACATGATTTACTTTAAAAGTTTATAAATGATACCCCACTTATTAAAGGGAGAAGAGTATGGATTTAGTCTAGCTACCAGGACTTGACACTTCTCAAGAGGAAAATATCAACATTTTTTCTAAAGAAGCTTTGCATTTACTATGTAACTTACATTTATTTCTGCTTATTCTACTCTTTTCAGTTATATAGGATTAACTACTTCAATGTTCCCTTGTCTAACGCATAGCAAACTTTGAAGTAAATGTATTGTACTAAATATTGCCCACTTTGTTACACAGTGACACTTATTTTGCGTTTTATGAATTTTCTTGGGTTCACTTATTGGTCAGTATCCAAGGATGTTTGTTGTGAACTTCTTGCTTGAACTTGCTTTGTTTCCAGTTCTGGCAATTACATAAACAGACAAGACTAGATTTGTATTTTCCACTTAAGGTTTATTCATGCAAAGCTTTCTAAAAGTATTTAACTGCTGTTTGATTCAAGCATTTTATTACTCTAAAAAATTACATACTCACATGATACTTGCATGAGTTGAAGCCTATTTATTAAGTTAATCATGAATATTTTATACCTGTTTTATAATGTAGCACTATATTTCAGAGAGTTCAATGTATATGTATTACCCCAAAGATAATAGAATTGAGATTATTGTTTAATTAAGTGAAATATTACAGTCAGGACCGTTTGGCTTACTACTGTACACAGATATTCAAAGACGCCTGGCTTCCCCTGGAAGAGTTCATAGCTTAAGATCTGTGAATGTGTAGAGAACATTCAGCATGCTAAAAGGAAGCCCTGAGGAATAATGCATTTGCAGAATAAAGGGCAAGCCCCAGGTTCCTGACTCTTAGCATAAAAAGAAAATAACTATCATTTGGTTTGGTGAGGTAAATATTTCTCACACTGATAGAGGTCACTTGTATTTGAGAGGACTTCTTATAATGTCTGACTCATGGTTACTCAGCTCTTTGCAGGTGTCTGCAATGTAACCACCAGCCAGGGAGAGAGACGGGGCTTTCTCCTCCCAATACGGAGTCACAGTCTTGGAAACTCACAGGGGCTGTTCCACCCTGTGCTATCGGGTCACCCTGCGTTGGAAGTAACTTGATGGCAGTGAGTTTGGGATTGTTTATTTTGAGTTTATAACAAAGCCAAACTCACTGTTATCGAGCTGATTCTTTGTGGAAGTTAAAAAGCCTCATCTTTCTCCCATGGAGTGGCTGGTGGGTTTGAGCTACTCACCTTGCTGTTGGTAGCCAAACAGGTTGGTGGATGTGAACTGCTGACCTTTCTGCTTGCAGACACACTCACAACCCCTTACGCCACTAGGCTCATTTCAGTGTCTCTAGAACATGCCTAGCTGCTAACCGTCAGGTGGGAGGGCGGAGTCCAACCAGAGATGTCTGCAGAGAAAGCCCTGGAGATCTACTTCTGACAAATAAAATCCTATCTTCAAACCCTAAGGCCCACAGTTCTACTCTGACACCCAAAGGTCCAACTGGAATCAACGAGCTAGATGGCAGCTGGTTTCATATGGCAGAAGAACAAATCCATTACTATTTATGGCCATGGAAATGAAAACTTACCCTCTTTGGAAATAGGACAGTCAATAAAATCAGTTCCTTATAAAAAGCGGTATTTACCTTGACAATTGCACAGTAAATTAAATTGTGGAAGACCGACCAAAGGATTGCTAATAAAGATCTGCGTTTTAAAAATTCCAGCTCAATATCCAACCTCCCCAGTAATGCTGCATTTTTATTCCTTTTCCTTAAATTCTGATATTCTGCCTCTGACTGATCTTTCTCAGCTCTTCCCACCTACCGCTCCTGGGATTCGATCTTGGATGCGTGACTTGTATGCGACAGAAAACACTGTGGGGAAACCTGGCTCAGTACCGCTCCAGTACTGGTCTCTTTTAGATGTGTATGAACAATTTCAACTCATGAATAATAAGGCACAGCTACATCCACTGGAATGGTAAGAGAGCCACAAATTTGGGTTGTGCAGTCCAAAAAGTCTCTAGTCTACAGATTGATTTCAAAAAGCTTTGCCTACATTAAAGAGAGAAACAAAAAAGATGTTTGCCCCAAAATTTATGCTCTGGAAAAGGAGCTCCTTTAAACTTTGAAACCATAATGATGCTAGTGGTCTTCCAACACCGTTAACAAAAATATATCCAACCGTTGTTCAAACCAACAGGACCCGCCTCTACCATAAAGTAATGCTTAACAGTAAAGGCTTCATGCGATGGTCTCTATCCTTGACTTGCACGAGCATCAGACAGAATTAGGCGGATTTGTTGCATGAGCCACCAGCCAAAGTGGGGCCTGCGAGACTAAGAGTATTTAGTTAGAGCATGTGAGCCCTTTATTTCAGGCGAATTCTACCCAAATTTATGTATTTGCTCTGTCACTGGCAAATGAGTAGGAGTGCATTAGAAAGGAGAATCAACAAAGGGAAATGCTTGGCAGAGAAAGCTTCTTGGTCTTCCATTCTCACTTCCATTGTAATAAAAGGCACTGGTGTCGGTTCCGTGGGGTCGGTCCCGTGTCATAGCGACCCTATGCAAAACTGAATGGAACACCACCCCGTCCTGGGCCATCCTCGCAGCTGCTGCGACGCTTGACCCCATTGTTCTAGCCACGGTGTCAGCCCATCTCTTTCAGGGTCTTCCTCTAGTTTTACTGACCTGCTTTAGCAAGCATGAGCCCCTTTCCCAGGGACTGGTCTCTCTTGGCTTGTGAAAGGAAGAGCGTTCTAGTTGAACTTATCCCAAGGCAGATTTCTTTGTTCTTTGCATAGTCTGTGGTACTTTGGATATTCTTCACCAGACCATTCAAATGCCTCAGTTCTTCTGAGGTTTTCTTCATTCATGGTCCAGAGAAAATAGGTCATTAGGAAATAAGAACCAGCATAAAGGTAGATAAGTTAACACCTCCAGGAACTGATGAAGTGGGCAGGCAAAGGGCTGCTTCAGCATCTCTAGTCTATGAATGAATTTGAGGGTGGATTGGACTTTTTCACTGCACAGAAGCAAACCGAAACGCCTAGAGATGTGAAAAGCTGAATGGAAACACTGTTGCCAACCATTCGTGCCTTCGGCAACTATCCTCATGAAGACACTCGCTCTTATCTAATACTAACCTGCTGCGGCCAACTGCTGTCCACTGACAGTCTTGTGGTGACATCCCATGAGGCGCATTGTCTGGGAATGGAGCCTGGGTCTCTGCATGGAAGCTATTCTATCAATAGCTCTCACTGCCCCTAGCATTCACATATTGCTGTGCTATTATCACTTTCTTCTGCCTCAAGAGATAGAACAGTTCTTCAACAAACTTCTTCACAGACTGTATAATTCTAAAATGTAAATGATCAAACATTGGGTAATTTTTAGGGCATCCCTCAGGATCAGATTGACTTTGACTCTCGTGAATTTATGAAGTTACCTTTATTCCTTAAAACTTGAAAATAGTAGGTCTGACATTTTTGGCCTGTTTATAAATTAGGTTTTATTTAATATGCCTCAAAATCACCTTGTAATTTGGATGCACACAAATACCCAAGATTATGCTGTTTGTTGTGAATTGGCGAAGAACAGACGGGGCTCATGAAAGAGCTCACTGACATTTTGTTTTTAACATCGAGTAAATCCCTTTGGGATACACAGGCTTGGGAGTGTTTGTTCTCAGGTTCCACATATATTGTCAGGTTTAAGCAATGGACTGATCTTGCCTATTGTTTCTGCTATTAATCATCAGTCCTCTACAGGCAGGATCTGAACAAAATGGGTTGTTTCCTTCCAAACTGAAGTGGATAGTTTGCTACCGAGGGCTTCCTCGACAATATCAGCATCGCCAACATTGTCTAAGCCTGTCTGAAGTTCACGTCCTAAGTCATCGATATGTTAACTGCTGGTCCATTGGGGGCATTGTTCCCAAAGAGTTTTTGAAAAGGGTCAGTGCGTTTGCTATTCTTCCACCCAAGCATCACAAAAAAATGTGACATCTATTCTTGCTTAAATTTTATCATAATTCATTTTACTCTGACGAGGGCTGTTTTTAAACTGACGTTTTAGTTTTCTTAGTGCATCAAGCTAGATCCTGTCCAGATGTGTTATAATATGATAGTACAAGTTTATTTCAGTACAAACAAGTATAGTAAAAACACTCACATATATTTCTCATTATATGCATTTTCCATGAACCTTTCTAAGGCCTTTGTGTATAGCCCCTAGAATATTTCAGGAAAGAAATCTCAATTCTAATTATCTTTGAGTTTATGAGTGAGTGCTTATATATTGGATTATCATAATCTTGACTTATTATAAAAAAGATGTATATTATGCATATTTTCCAAAAGAAGTAACTGAGAAGATAGATTTATTTTTTGTGCTCAAATGAGACAGCTAATAAAAGTCAAGTACGGACCAGAACCTGTTTCAGTCCATCTGGTTCACAGTCATCCTTAGTCCAGCGTCTTCCCCCCAGAGCATTACACCCCCAGGCAGATTCAGTGGATCACGGCCCTTTCCTCCACAATGTTCACCTCCGGCTTACTTTTGCTTTTCTCAGAAAAGGTCTGATTGACATATTTTCTCTACCTGGGGAGTGAGGTGTTTTATATCTTCATTCTTCCTTTTGAATAAAGATCATCTGCTTATAGAATAAGGTGAGGAGAGAAAGAGTCAGAAAATCACAGTTGTGGGCAATCATGTGCATTTTCACAGGCTTAGCAGCTACAAATCACAAGAGAATTGGTGTAAATATCAGCAGAAGGAAAGTCTTAAAATCAGTTGCATTATCTGATCATTTTCACTGTGCTGGAAACTTGCCAGTGTACTTTGAAAAGACTATCTGTGAAAATCCACATGTCCACCATAAATAATGTTGGAACAATTGCACAAGAAATCATGGCTGGATGCCTTAACACACAACGCATCTCATCCCATGAACACAGTCATCCTCAGATGCGGCTGAGCTCCTTCTGACCCCTAGCAAGCCCATGGACGTAGAAGGAAGCTCTGCACGTCTGGTGCCAGCCTCACAATCATTGCTCGGTCCGGGTCCACTGCTGCAGCCCCTGGTTCAGTCCGTCCGGTTCAGTCTTGAGCTTTCTCATCGGTCCTCCAATTTACCAACCACGATAACCTTTCCCACGACTGGTCTTCCTGGTAATGTGTCCAAAGTACGTGATACAAAATTCTCACCCTCCTCCATTCTAAGCAACCTTCTGACTTTACCTCTTCTAACACAGATTTGGTTTTTCTTCGAGCAGCCCATGGTAATGTCAGTGTGCTTGACCAGCACCACAATTCAAATGCCTCCCTTCTCCTCTGGGCTTCTTCATTCGTTGCTCAGCTTTCACAGGCATAAGAGGTGACTGAAGACCACAGCGCAGGCGGGGCATCTTACCTCACACTGCTAGCTTTGCCCCATAGCATTGTGGGGAGGTCTTTTGCAGCAGACCTGTCCAATGCACTACATGTGGTTTCTTGACTGCTATCAAATCACGAGCGTTGATTTGAGATCCAAGTAGACGTTGAGTCCATGGTGGCAGTCCCTGTTTCAATTCTTTTTCTTCATTTCTATCTTTTCTTCATTTCTCAGGAGGTTGTGTAGTGTTCCAGTGGTGAGAATTTTTGTTTTCTTTACACTGAGTTGTCATCCGTACCAGATCATCCTCCTCATCAGTCAGTGCTTTGAAGGTTGTATCATGTTCATGTAATCTAACAGCCTCTCAGACGATTTGCCCAGCAAGCAATTGAATAAGTGTAGTGAAAGGATGGCTACAACCTTGATTCACACTTAGCCTGATTTTAAACCAGTCAGTATAGAGCCTGTTGGTCTAAATACAGCTTCTTCATGAGCACAGTTACGTGTCTGTACGTTCCTTTGAGCACAATGATATCTATGGTTTACTCTGAGCCACAGTGTTGAACGCCTTGACAGAGTCAATAAAACACAAGCAAGCATCTTTTTGGTATTCTCTGCTTCCTGCCAAGATCTGACATCAGTCATGAAATCCCTTGTGCCACTTCCTCTTCTGAACCTGGCTTGACATTCTTGCGGATGTACTGCTGCAATCAATCATTTAAAAACCCTTTTTCAACAAAATATTTGCATGTAATATTAATGGCTTAGTCACTGATTTCCACATTCTCTTGGGTCACCTTTCTTTGGAATAGGCACAAAATAAGTCTCTTTCAGTCTATTGGTCAGGTAGCTGCCTCTCAATTTTCTTGCCTCGTGATTGCCTCCGCTTGTTAAAACATTTTACTTGGTATTCCATCCATTCTTGGAGCTTTGCTTTTGGCCGATGCCTACAGTGTAGCTTGGGTTTCTTTCACCAATACCAATGGTTCTTGATCATATGCTACCTCTGAAGTGGTTGAATGTTGACCAGTTCTTTTGGGTACTGTGACTGTGTACTTCTTTCATTTCCTTTTGATGCTGCCTGCATGGCTCCATATTTGCCTGAAGAATCCTTGAATAGAGCATTCCGAGGCTTGATTTCTTTTTCTTCTGCTATTTCAACTTGAGAAATACTGAGCTTGATCTTCCATTGCGGCTTTCTTGGGTGGATGGAAATAATGATTTTCTAACTCCAGGTCTTTGCACATTTCACTATAATACCTTTTCTCCAACTGCCCTTTGAAGGTTTCTATTCAACTCTTTTACCGCATTATTAAGATCGCATTTTCCCCCCAAATTCAGTTTGTGTAATTGGGGGCGGGGGTGGGGTGTTTCAGAAATTCATGGGAAAATCCATTGTTATTTAATTCTAGTTTTTGGTACCCCTTGGTATGTTTCAGTGATGCATTTGATGTGAACCTCACCTACAGTGTTGTTTCATATGAATTTTAATTTTTAACAACCAATTGTCTACTGCCTAATCAGACTTGAATGTAACCTGTCTCACTCCATGCTTTATCTAAGGACCCCTGATGACTTAGTCAGTTACATGCTGGGCTGCTAACTGAGATCAGCAGTTCAAAACCACCAGTCGCTCCTAAGGAGAAAGATGAAACTTTCTACTCCTATAAAGAGTTAGAGTCTAGGAAACCCAAAGGGGAAGTTCTCCCCTTTCCTACAGGGTCACTGTAAGTAAAAATGGATGCAATGGCAGTGAGTTTTTGTTTATATTCATATATAAACATTTTTTTTTTTTAAAATGCAGTGGCATTACTTTTGTTCACTCATACTGAAGAACAAACAGGTCTACGCTGGAGTTAGAACAGCCAGAATACTCCTTAGGAGAGAGGATGGCAAGACTTTGTCTTGCTTCCTCTGGGAATGTTATCAGGAGAGGTTAATACCAGGAGAAGGGCATCCTGCTTGGTGGCGGGTCATCGAACAAGAGGAAGACATTTAAGGAGATGTATTGACACAGTAGGCATAATGAACTCAGGTGTACCAACCATTGCAAGGATGGGCAGGGCTGAGCCGCATTTTGTTGCTATACACAAGGTTCCCATAACTTCGTGAAGTTGTGATATTAATGGCACTTGACAACAATTATATTCACCATGCTATGCAACTGTCACCATCCATTCCCAAGTCTTTCTATCAACTTCAACAGAATCTCAGTGCCCCCAGCACTGTCTCTAACTACTGCTTCTTCTTCTTTTGTGTTTCTATTTTGAAGAAATTGAATGTTGCTCTCCTCCACCACAGTGCCCAGTACAAGATTTTGGATCGTAAATATTTATGAAATGAAATGTAACAAAGATCATTTGATTTAGCTATCGCAGTATCCCTGTAACATAAGGCAAATCTCATCTCCATTTTGCTGGTGTGTAAATGGAGATTCATAACAGCACCAGAAAGTTCCATTAAGGGCCCATCAAACTAATCCTGCCCAGTGTTCCCTATCATCAAGGCCAGCAATTACTCTGTCTGCAATCTTGATTACTTTGGCCCCAAATCTGAGAATTTGAAGGGCAATCTGGCCAAGTGTTTAGTTAGTTCTACAACAGAGACAAGGAGACAAACTCAACAAGATATACTGGACCCTGACTCTTCACTACCGTTCGAAAGAGCTCAAGGATAGAAGGCATGGCCAGCATCAGTTAGATTTTGCAATGATACACTTATACTTCTGAGATTTTATGTATGTTCTTCTCAGCTTGTGTCTCAGACTTTCCAAAGCTTCTTGATTCAAAACTGTAACTTGAGCCAAAGAGATTGCAGTAAGAATGTGCATTGCTGAAGCAGTTCTGTTGGACCCATACTATCAGAGAGCTTTGAGTTTTGGACGCAAGAGTGACTTTTTGCCCTGTTTTAGTTCAAATGTGCTTCTGCTGATTAGAGACGATGAGATTTCCACCCACCTCCTTTGAGGCTCAGTTGCCAGTTTCAAGGATGGAAATACAGAGAGTGTTTCTTTGTGTTGATCAAAATAACTGAGACCCCTCAAGCAAAAAGGAAAGTGGATCGCGTGGTAGATGTTTTTCCATGAATTGTGTCATTTCATTGATCCAGAGGTCTTTGGCATTGCTCCTGCAGGGATTTTTCCACGAAGGATGAGGATGCTGGAAAACCACAAGTACCATTTGATGCAGTTGAAAATAAAAAAGGTAAACGGATATAGCTCCATTTAATTGTAGCAGGAAAATGTGTATCGCCTGGCCAAACGCATATTAAAATGTTAGCCTAACAATCAAAAACTAAAACAAAACCAAAAACCACCGCACTCACTGACACTGAATCAATTCTGACTGATGGCGAGTCTTTAGGGCACAGTAGACCAATCCCCCCCAACACACCCCCTCCACTCTTGAGGTTTTCTGAGGCTGTAAATCAGATCCTTAAGGGAACGGGAAACCTCACCTTTCTACCAAGGACTGGTGGGTGGTTTGAACTGCTGACCTTAGGGTTAGCAGACAAGCACGTAATCTACTCTGCAACCAGGACTCCTATTTTTCATAAAACTCAGAAAAACCTTTCTTCTTAAAGATAATGAAATTGGAGGAAGTATAAGCAAAGAAGTATTCTCATGCTTGTGGTTAGTGTATAAATGAGAACCACCTTTCTTACCAGTCATTTAGGAATGTATATAAAAAAGATATTAAAAGATTGAACACAGAGGCCAGAAATTTTACTTCTAGGTATAATATTTAGAAAATAAGTTAAAACAAATACTGGTTTAAACTACATAACTTTTAATAAATGAGGGGGATAATGAAACCACCAGGATTCTATCATTAAGAATAAAGAGTTAATCATCTCATAAACTACTATATGAAGCCACTATAATCTTTTAAAAGTATATTTATAGGAAAGGTGCTTATGATATATTACAAACTGAGAAATTGCCTTTAAGCAACATGAACTGATAATAATTAAAGGAAAATAATAATGAGTTTGATTTTACTTCTTTACCTTGGCTCTATTTTCAAGTTCTTTTTTCCTTCTAAAGACTATCAGAGATTTTTTTTGTAATAAGGAAAAAATATATAATTTTAGAAAGAAATAAAATGAAAATAAATGTGTGTCCTTGTATCTACTATTTTGAAAAACTATGCTAAGTTCTCTCATTATAATTCTAAATTGGGAGTTAATAGTAAGTGGTATCTGTGAAAGTGTGATTTGCAGGCCAGCAATATTGACGGTGCCTTGGGAACGTTCACCGGTTCGATGTAGCCTACTGCTCAGAATTTCTCTCCAGGAGGCATTTCAGTGAATCCTGGTCATGGCTGTGAGTCATGCGCACATTTGAGAACCATTGATTCAATAGAATGAACCGGTAGCCCCAGTGAAATGCTGGTGATAAACGGGGGTTCTTACCTCTCCGACTAATTATTTGTCTTTGTATGAGCTGCTTTAGTCTACTGAGAGCTATTTATTCATTTGTTTAAAACAAATATTTGTTAAGGTAGTGTATATATTTATTAGGCAGATGCTAGGGTGAATCAGGAGACTGAAATACTAGTGGGAAGAACTTTGTAATTCTAATAATTTGAGAAATTATAATAATAGGATAAGAAAACTTGACATAGTCGATCCAGGACAGATGAACCCCTACCTCTGAACAATGGATAGAATTAAACCAACACTTTTCCTCAGGGAGTTTTCTATTTACTCTCAGCATCATCGTCTGAGTGTTGAATCAATTCACTTCTGAGGTTCTAGCCTAGCAGCTGGGTTTGATCCAACTTTACTTAGAAGTCATTCATGAGGCAGTAAAACCTACATAATACGGTACATGTTTTATTAAATGAATCTGTGTTTGAGATGATGAGGTATTTATTCTTTTTATTTATTTATTTTAAATCATTTTATTGGGGGCTCCTACAACTCTTAGCACAATCCACACATACATCCATTGTGTCAAGCACATTTGTACATTTGTTGCCATCATCATTCTCAAAACATTTACGTGCTACTTGAGCCCCTTGGTATCAGCTCCTCATTTGGCCCCCCTCCTTCTCCGATTCCCCCTCCCCCACAAACCCTTGATAATTTATAAATTGTTATTTTGTCATATCTTATACTGTCGGACATTGCCCTTCACTCAATTCTCTGCTGGCCAGCCCCCAGGGAGGAGGGTATATGTAGATCCTTGTAATCAGTTCCCCCTTTCCACCCCACCTTCCCTCCACCCTCCCGGTATCGCCACTCTCACCACTGGTCCTGAGGGGTTCATCTGTCCTGGATTCCATTATTTCTTATTTTAAATGTACTTTTTCCTCCCCCCAGTGGAAATGCCACACCCGGTGAGTGAGCGCAGAGGCAGACGTTGCAGTGACGGTGAGTTGAGGCTGCCGTGTTCCGGCAGCATTATCAATGGGTACTCTCCAGCTTTGAATACATTCTCCATCGCTCATAGTTGCACATCTGTGGGCAGCTCGCCTATCCTGAGCACTTGTTCCGAGGTAGGAGATGGTTGAATGAGTCATTCTCTGCCACTTTTGCAAATGAAGTACATGTTCATTTTGTTTTTAAACATGATTTCCCTTTAAAGCCAGTATTTTTGGAGCTTGCTTTAAGGGCCTCGAAGAGTTCTACCCCGCTGCTTTGGAGGCCCCTGGGAGAGGTGGGCAGCTCACCCACCTCAGACTTTCACCAGCGGGAGTCTCAGCACCTACAGTGGTCTCCTTCCCACCAGCATGTTGCTATCACGGTTCATACTTGAGGAAACATTTCTCTATAGAAGTTGAGCATATTCAAGTTGATTTTAAATTTATGTCCTTAAAATTGAGTCGCACTAATACATGTAATTTTATTGTATATAGTGTTATATTTATCAATAATATTTCTAGTGCACTCCAGTATTATTACACAACAATAACAGATTTCTGGAGAGTCTGACTTTACAAGGTCACAGGGCCACTAAACCAGCTGAACTTGACTGAGAAGCTGGATCTTCAGATTCTGTGTCCTAAATTCCTGAATTTTTAAAATGTCTTATAATGTGAGGGGCTTCACAGAGTTCAAGTTTTCACTATACAATAATATGGTTTAATAACATCAAGAAGTATATCCAATTGCAACAAACACCCAATTACTGAATATTTCCATTTTGAAGGCCCCTTGCAGATGGTAAACAATTAAGAGTTGTAGTCAGTGGATTTTTTCATCATAGCTTTAAGAAATATATTTATTTGTATGTCTACAGTTTATGTATCATTTAAAGAACCTTGGTGGCTCAGAGGTTAAGGGTCCTGCTGCTAACCAAAAGACCGGTGGCTTGTCCCCACCCCGCAGTTCTGTAGACAGGCGACCTGGAAATCCGCTTACATAAAAATTCCAGCCAAGAAAACCCCATTGGGCAGTTCCACTTCAGATGGAGATTAGACCATTAACTCGACGACACCTAGCAACAATCGAAATACAGTTTTCCAAAGCATGCCCTTAGATAATTACCTTACACAAATTAAAACTATTCTGTTGAAACATTAACTCTAAGAAGATTTTATGGACTTTGGCATCATAAGTTCTCAGATTGAATAAAACCGACTGTATCTTCTATAATTTGATTTAACATCCATTATGTTCTACTGCTTTTGTTGAAATCACTTTCAATTAAGAGGCTGTACAATGATATGGTTTAATACCATCAACAACTATCATCTCCAATGATAGAAAGGAGGATTTTCAATTCAGCGGTGCTAGTCGGGAAAAGATAACAGGTCGTCTGTGGCATGTACTTCATTGCTTCCCGACCCCAAGTCCCTCCAAACCCAAAATCAATGCCTTTGAGTCCAAGTCCAACCTGCAACCACTACGTTACCAAGTTCCTGCCAGTACAGACACCCATGCTCACTGAGGACTCCTAGCGGCCCTCTAGGACAGGGTAGAACTATCCTGGTGGGTTCCTCTTTATGGGAGTAGAAAGCTGTGTCTTTCTCCCTCAGAAAGGCTGGTAGTTTTGAACTGCTGACCTTGTGGTTGGCAGTCCAAAACACCAAGCTTCCTCTAGCTGATACCAAGCCAATTCTGACTCATGGTGACCCTATATATGTTGGAGTCACATGGGGTCCCAGAGTTTTCAGTGGCTAATCTTTCCAAAGTGATGGCCAGACCTTTCCTCCGAGGGGTTTCTGGGTGGACCCTAATGTCTAACCTTTCGGTTAGCAGCTAAACATATCTGCCCTTTGTCCCACCCAAGGACTGCTCTTGAGCCCTTACCCTTAGATGATCGCATGCTTCTCAAATCTCTGAGGAGCCTGACGCCTGCAGTGGAGTAGAAAGAGAACGGGAACGGAAATCAGGAACAACGTGGGAGTGAACACTTGTTGAGAACTTGCAGGGTTCCAGCCTCCGGGTTTGCTGCAGCATCAGGCAAACCCCTTCCTCCCTTTGAGCTTCCATTTTCTCATTTGTAAACTGCAAGGATATTACACTCGCTGACCTCTTTTTTTCCGCCCTGATCCCAAGAAACATGGTAAAAGGATGTGAACGTGTTCAGTAAGCCCTTCATCTTTGTTCCTGGTTTTAAGTGGAAGAAAATTAGTCCTATCCCGGCCTTCATACACTCATCTTTCTACTTTTGTAGTAGGATATAAAGCTTTTTTGTTTTTTAAGTCCATTGATGCCTGTGAACAGGTGTGAGTATTTCTAGGAGCCTACGCTGCACGGTGTTTCATATGAGTTATGATTATCCCTCCAGAGGTCAATAAACTTCAGTGGTTAAAAGACGTCCATTAAAAGCAGCCAAACTTCAAACAGCTTTCTGAGGTCTCCTTGCCAAATAAGCTCTGCAGCTCGCTACCGCCGTACCCCACACGGGGTTCCCCATGGAGCTAACCTAATCTGGCCGGAGGCAAGTTGGGATGGGGCTGGGAGAGACGCCAGGGAGACACCAGGTGTTTGCGGGCGGCAACAAGGAGGATTCGGTTGAAGGTGAAGGCAGCACTCCATCAACTTTCAGACAGAGAGCTGGGACTCTGCCCTTGTGGCACAGTTGGCCAGCAGTGGGCATTGCTCAAACTGTGCTGAGTGGCATGATGGCCCATTTTATCTAATGAAGAGCCAAGTGTCCATGTTGAAATAGGCAAGTCCCATTGAAAATCATCACTCTTGATCAAAAGGATAAAATGCAGAGAAATAAACTCCCAGTGCAGGACTATAAAAAGATATCCTAGTAAATTGAAGCGCATCTTCTATGTTTACTGATTTGGAGGGGAAAGATTTTCATAAATTATTTGGAGCATAAAATCTAGTGCAGGTGTATATGTCTTAGTTCATGGAGAAGGACATCGGGCTTGGTAACATAGAGGGTCAGCAAAAAAGACCGTCAGTGCAGTAGAGCAAGCACTGACGGATCACGCAACATACCTCTGGTCCCTTGAGGCCTCCTCGCCCCCCACTATTATGACCCCAGTGCTGCTTCCCACTCTGGACTGGATGGGAGAATGTACATAGGTAGAGGCAAGGGATAAAGCTCATGACACATGGAACCCAGGAATAGGAATGGGAATCGGGATACCAAAAGAATAGGGGGAAGTGGGGGAGAGGTGGAGAGGAAGGGGGTACTAATCACAATGAATGGCACATAACCATACCCCACTCCTCCAGGGGGATGACCAACAGAAACCAGAGGGGCAGGGTGACAGCAGTCGGTGTGAGATATGAAAACAATAACAATCTATAATGTATTGTGTTAGACAGGATTCTCTAGAGAGATAAAACCAAATTCCTGATAATATATTTATTTATAAAGATAATTAGATATATAACGAGAAATGAACTGTTAAATCATATACAGATAAATATACAATACAAGAAATAAACAGTTAAATTAGAAAGCACTACAAATGGCTTAGTGCAACTCACGTCCGTGAGAGAAAGTTGAGAGACTGGCAGTCCTTCAAGTCTCTCTCTGATGCCAGATCTTCCTCTATTTGTAGAGAGAGCTAGGCTATGTCAGCACAGCAGCCAATCACAAGGCAGGTCACCAACCGCCAGTCCCCAGCTCCAGCGATGTCTTAAAGGGACCTCAACTTACAGCAACACAATCCACAGGCTAGGCGTCACACAGGCAGTGCAGCCTTTAAATTGAGGCACAGAACAAGCAAGGCAGCCGTACACTGGTCCGATGATCACAGAGCGAGAGACAAGAAAGGCAAGACTCACTAAGCCATTTATCTCTCTGCCCTTCAGTCAATCCCACCTGCGTTCATCAGCCAGGCTGGTACAATAAACTATCTCATGTATCAAGGGGCTGTGAGGCAGGGGGAAGGGGGGAGTGAAGGGTAAGAAAGAGGAGCTGATCCCAAGGGCTCAATAGAAAGTAAATGTCTAGGAAAGAACAATGGCAATTTATGTACTAATAGGTTTGATATAATTGCTGTATGGATTGAAACAAGAGTTGTAAGAGTCCCCAATAAAATCATCTTTAAAAAAAAGATCTTCAAAGACACAGTGGCTCAAACACAGCAAGGATTGTGGGGTGGCACCAGCCTGGGCAGGGATTCCTGCTGTCAGACACAGGGTTGCTCTGAGTTGGAATTCACTAAACGGCACCCAACAGCACACGTTTCCCCTTCCTGCCGAGAAAATGGTCGTCCTCAAATGCATTTACTGACTCTGAACGCCAGCTGATAAGGTCTAGTGTTGGATGGGGTGTAGTCTCCATTTGAATCGTCTCATGACTAAATCCTGTTTTCTCTGCCTATCTCAGTGTCCAGAACATTGTACATGCTGGGGTGGGGGTGGGGGGGGCTTGATTCAATAAAATGAATGCATTATTACGGAGTGGCTGGATTTGAGTAAGTTATGGCCCTCTGTCAGGATAAGTTTGAGGAACACAAACATAACCTCATTCTTTAGTTTGTTTTCCCTTTTATTACAAAAATACATAAAGAAAAAATTGATTTCTAAGTGGTCAATTCAACACAATTGTAGATCCAGCATACCTACAACGCACCTAGACTGAAGCTCTGGTTGACCGTGATATCAATTAACAAGTAAACTATACCAAGCAGGTCATTTGCCCAGTTCACGGAGTAATTCAGCCAAACTGACTGGTCCCCTTTCTTCATGAAGACTTCCTACTAACATCTGTTTGGCAGTATCTGCTACTGTGGGTCCTTGTGTCCATCAAAGAAATACAAGTTTGGTCTTGGTGAGGCACAAATTCCGGTACACGGTGAGAGATGAGACTGGAGCGGAAGACTGGGAAGGCGTCGGGAAATGCCTGATCTGCCTGCATATTACAGCTTGGACTTGGCCATAAGAAACCATTAGAGAACTGTAGGTCAGCTGTCAGCTTTGATGTCAGAAAGATCCTGGAGACGGCTAGGTAAAGGAGAGGAGGAAAGCACAGTGGCATCGTCTGCCTTCTTCCAATTGAGCTTCACAGCTTCCTGCAGCAACGGCAGGGCTTTTTGTTGTTCTTGTTGTTGCTCTGTTGTTAAGACATCCCTGGCTAATGCATTTAAAGGAAATCCAAGGATTTTTTTTTTTCATTTTACTGACCTCTATCTTATGCTTTTCTTTGTTGGAATGTCGTTGACTATTCAGAAGAATTTATGAAGGGAAATACTAGCTGATATTTCTTTGGAAAACATTTGGTAAGCTTCTGTAAGGGGTAATTTCTTTGTTCCAAATATCAATTCTAAATATAACATCAGTGGCTTGGGACACGTACCCATACTGATATTTTTCTTTTATTTTTCCACCAAGACGCTTTTGGGAAAATTAGGTTACTGAGTGGGCTTCTTAAAAGTGGTTTCAAATCAACGGTCAGAGTTGATCTGGTAGGCCAGGATCTGTAACAGGGTTTAGCACAGGATAGGGGTTTTCTCGTATATTTTACAGTCTTTTCTCCGGTTGAGGTGGCCTGAATAGGAGAGGGATTTCTGGATTTCCTTGTTGATTTTCCTTCATACCAGCATGTTTAGTATAGATCAGTGTTCATATGCATCATTTCACCCTATTGCCCATAACCAATTATCCTCATCCAGTGACACTCTGGTAGGAACCTGCCCTCATTCCCTGTGGGTCTCCACACTCTCATCCCCACACAGACACATCAGCCTTGCTTACGAAGTTGCTTTATCTATGTAATCAGTGTCACGAATATATTCTCTACCTAGTGGAGGGATATAAAGGAACCCTGGTGGCACAGAGCTTACACATTAGGCTGCTAACCAGAAGGTCAGCGGTTCGAAACCATCAGCTGATCTGGGGGGATGGGAAGACATGGCTTTCTACTCCCATCAAGACTTAAGAGTCTCAGAAAATCCTCAGAGGCAGTTCTACCCTGTCCTATAGGGTCACTGTAAATCAGCAGTGGCTCGATGGCAGTGAGTTTGGTTCAGTTTTTGAGAGAGATTGTCCTGTCTTCTCTATCTTTAAATGTTCCCAGACGGAGCCTAAAGTGTCATCGGTAGGTATGGTATCATACCAACTAAAGCCTTAGTTGTTTATGAGGCAGATTCTGCCAAAGTTGATAAACAGAGAATCCAGCTGAAGTCACAAGCAAGCGGTGGCCCAGGTGCCGAGTGGAAGGCAGCAGGGATCCCTACCAAGGGGGAGAAAGCAACACAAAATCTGAATTATCTATGATTTCTAAATGTTTATCCATTTCACCATTATATATTTTTGTCATTGTTTCTTTTTGTTTTGTTTCTTAACAGATCAATATACACTCTGTCATATCAGTCAGATCTTTACACATCCACGTTTGCAACTAAACCCTGAATTCCATGCAAGGATCAAAGATTATTACTCAGAAGTCCCATTTGATGTGGTCACAGTGACAATTGGAGCGGAGACTTCTAGGTGTCAGTGCACAGTGCACCTGTCTGAGAGGGGAGGGCCAAGGTATGGGCATGCTGATGGGGGTGAATGTAGTCATTGTAATGGGGTCAGGCATTTGGTACTGCCTTCAAAAGGGGAGTGAGGGGCACAGGTAGTGTAATTGGTAATGCAATGGACTGCGAACCCCCAGCCTCTACAAGGGGGAAAGATGAGGCTTTCTGCTTCCATAAAGAGTTACCGTCTTGGCAAGCCCCAGGGGACAGTTCGACCCTATCATATATAGTCACTGTGAGGCACATTGGAAGAGAGGCCTGCTGATCTACTTTTGAAAAATTCACCATCGATCCCTAAAGGGCACAGCTTTCTCTAACCTGCACGAG